CGTTCAAATTAATTATATAATTAGTTATAAAATTAGATATTTCATGATTACGTTAAGTATAAATAAACTATGTGTTACTAAAATAATTGAGCACTTATTTCTGATTCAAAAAGTGACAAATGTACTTCAATGAAATCTTATTATCTTCTATTTCACGTGTCATTCTATCGATATGAAATGAAATAAAATATTTATTCTATGCTTTTTTTCAATAAGCATTTCATTATTTGGAAAAAAAATATTAGACTATCATTTAATATAATTAACTGTCATATATATGCATATGGTACCACTAGAATAACGATATAAAAAGTAATTTATACGTGTGATTAAAAATTGTTTTATTGATTTAAAGATATATTTGCTGAATAAAAAATATTAATGTTCAATAATTATTAAATTAATTTAATTGTATATGAATAAGTCAAAACTTTTTCCACATATATTTCTTTTTGTTCCGGTTCAAAATGATTGTAAAATTTTTCGTTTGTCAATGCTAATTATACATCTAAAATTAAATATATTTTTTATTTTTTCTTCTTCTTATAATTACAACTTTCGTCATTCTTACGAATTTATAACAATTTCTTTTCTCTGATATCTGATAACTTTAACCCGATCATTTATTAAATTAAGAAATTCATTTTTAACGGATGTTATATAACTTATATATATATATATATATATATATATATATATATATATATATATAAGTTATATAAGTTTAAAAGATTTCAGCTAAAAATCATTATTATTAAAAATTTTTTTTTAATAGCATCATGGTATAAGTATCTCGTATATGTATAATACGTATTTTACAATAATCGTAATTTTAATAAATAAATTGTACGTAAATTTAAAAGAAATTTTTTAAATTATTCAATAAATATTAGTTATATCTGAAAGATATTGCTTAATTACCTACAGTTTTAATTTGAAAATACATACAAATCATTTAGTAAACATATTTTGTAATATGATAATGGGAGTTTTTTTATGGATTTTAATATTTTTATTCAAAATGATATATATGATAATACTAATAATATGCTAGCAATAGTATAATTTTTTTTTATTAATTCTTGCTTTAAGATTGGCTATTTATTAATTAAATCATTATGCATAGTAAAAACGATTTCAGTTAATTCGCTGACCTTGGCTAAGATTATGATAAAAGTGATATAAAGAATTTCTTTCACGAAAGTATATTAACTACTTTATTACTATCATTTTAAAAAGAATGATATTTTTACATATATAACAATTAGGGATTTTTTCTTAAGATCAGCTATTGGAAAATATACATCTTTTATGTAATTCAATATAAAAAGATATTGTGTCAGGTGAATATAACACATAATTTAATTATTTAATTCATTAATAGAAAGTAATATTTAAGCAAGTATTTTGGTTAATCAAATCACCGAATCATATTATCTGTTGCTTAATCTTTAAAAAATCAAATTATTATAAATTCAATATTACATTCTTTACGTATTCGTATTCTGATATATTAATATAACACTATTTTCATATATAAATATTAACAATATACTTTTGCTTATAATGTTAATAATTACTTTTTAAATACAAAATATGAATTAATAAAAAAACTTTATTCTGTTTGTAAAAAATGAATGTAAGTCATTAGTAATATATATATATATATATATATTACTTTCATTTTAGACAAATAGAATAGAGTTTTTTTATTAATTCATATTTTGTATTAAAAATTAAATATTAACATTATATGCAAAATATATCTATCTATCTATATATGTATGTGCGTACGTGCGTGTGTGCGTGTGTTTGAAAATTATGAGGATTTGGAATTGATAAATAAATGATATATCGAAATTTCAGTTTAAAAAACTTAAAACTTTAATTAACTATTTGTTTTGGTATAAATACAATATATATTGGTATGATCTGCGCCATAACTATTTTTTTGTCGCATAATGAATATTCTAATGTATACGAATACGGTACGCATAAGGAAAACGGCGTGATCATCGAAATGTATATAATATATATATATATATATATATATATATATATATATATATATATATATATATATTACTAGGTAAATAATAAAAAAAGATAAAGTCGAGGCTCTGTATTTTTCTAATATGATAATAATAACAATATACATATATATGGAAACTCTGAATTGACTTCTTGAGGCAATATGTCCTTTGTCACATCTTTTTCCTACAATAAAATTTAATAATATAGTAGCTTTATAACAGCTTTATTCCTATCTTAAAGAAGTGATATTATACGGTGCACTTAAAAATATTATGGAATATTTAATTAAAGAAGAAATTTAATTTAATGCAATAGTATTTGAAATGTTTATTATAAATAATAAACTATAATTTTCTAATAATTTCATTTAAAATATTTAAAAATAAAAAAACTATTTCATTTTTAATAGGTTATTTCTTTTGAAAAAAATACAAACGTATTTATAAAGAAAGATGTAATATTTAAGTAATAATAATAAAGTAAAGAGTTAAATATGTCTGCACGTATTTTTTAATATTATTTTTGTTTTTATTTTCTAAATGATGGAGCCAATGTGTCAAATGCACGAACACTCCATCCTCTCATGTATATATTATGTATTGCACATAATTAGATACTAAAATTGTAAATTTTTTATAGTACATGTAATATAAAATATTATTATAGTTTGTTATTAATTTAAGGGAAGATAAACAAATTTTTTTATAATTACCAAACAATTGTATTTATAAATCTTTTAATTTCAAATGCTGAATAATTTCAGAAATAACAGCAATAAAAAACAATTCAATTTTATTTGATGATTTTTACATGAGATTAGGTTAAAATTATTGTAATGGAATGGTTAACGTATAGTGAACAAATTCGAAAAATTTTTTATGAAATCTTATTTAATATATAATATAACATTTCAAAAAATTAACCAAGAAAAATATTTTTACAACACATGTCAAGTATAGACTTAGTTTAGCAATATATTTTTAAGTATTTGTCATTTGATTATTCATTGAAACTACTGTAAAAATATTTGAATTTTTTCAGAGTAGTAATTTGATGGTCTAATACTGTTTTATTTTTATAAATTAATAATTGTATATTTCTGATATTTTGATATAAACTTAAAAAGTTTTATAAATATCATTGATTAATACATTTTATAATTTACCTATAAAGGCAGATAAAAAATTAAATTGAATAATGTTACGAGTATGATTATAAATGTTAAAAATTTAATTCTTTACTTTAATATGTAGAATGTGATGAACTTATTTTAAAGTGTATAACCCTCAATATTTTCATAACTTTTTCGTATTTTTTGAAAATATCATTTAAGTTATATTTTCTAAACTCTACAATAAAATTGACGCATTTTTAAGCGATGATTTGATATACAATTACCATTACTACACAATTTATTTAAGTTAAGAAGAATTTATGTAGAATAGTTATTCTTTGCTATCTTTTCTAGAAGACGTTAATATATATAATTATATATTATATATATATATATATATATATATATATATTTTTTTTTTTAGTTATTATTAATTGTATTAATGCAAGTTGTAGATGTTATTTATCAAGGTTGGCATTATTTTATCAATATTACGCTATCAAAAAATTGAATAAATATACATCCGTCAATTAATTAATAAAAGGAATTAAACAGAGAGTGAAATAAGCTTACAACTTAAATGCATTTTACCGAATGCTTTACTTTAACAGTGGACGGGCCATCCCCAGTATTTTTCCACTGAAAAGCATTTCAATGAATTTCCAGGTTCATCCAAACATTAACCAATGAGTGCTTTGAGAGCTTAAGTTATTATAAATAATAATCATAGTGGATTTCTGTATTTTTTACAGATTCGAGTGATAATTTTAATTATATTTATGTCATTATATGGTTACGATACAGTAGTTTAAGCATTTGGAATATCGAAGCACACATGATTTACACAATACTTCATTAATATTCTGGCACGTTTGTAGACGATGCACCGCATGAATAAACAAAACATTAGAAAACTAAAGGTTTTAGGGTGATGGACTCTATAAATTAACAAATCTATAAGGATTATAGAATTGAATTGACAAACTTGTATTAATTTATATTAATTACTAACTGATTCCTGGCGGTTCATTTACGATGGCTTTTTAATCCTAATTTTTATCATAAAATATTGTGATAGTACATAGTTTATCATTGTAGAAAAAGAGTAGATAAGTAAAGAACAACTATCAAAATTTCAGTACAATCAGTCAATTGTCTTTGAAATTGTAATAAAAAATAAAGTTACAAACTACAGGTACTTAATTGGTCATAAATCGACTTACAGATAAAGTAATCGTTAGCTTTTAGGACGTTATTATTATATTTTTTTACATAGTAGATAATTAATCAGTTCTATATATATATATATATATATATATATATATATATATATATATATATTTTTTTTTCCTTCTATTTTGTTTGTTAAAATATCATAATTATTTTTAAAAATGATAATGACGATTTAATTATGATTTGAATAAATAACAAATAGGCATTTCCATTCGATTATATTAAGTACTCAACTTCAAGTACTACTTTATATCCTAAACTAATCTCGTAAGTTGAGTATTATTTAGATGAAGATGGTTCTTAAACTTGAATTTCGAATTACAATGTAAATTTAATTTTGTAATACCTAAGTTCCAAATAGATTGTAAAGAATATTATTATATGATTTGTTTTTGAAGCGAGCTTGTGTACAACTAACAAAATCACAACTTATCTTATAAAAAAACTTTAAACTCATTCATACTTTAAACGTAGATCGTAATTATTTAGCTTATAAATGTATAAAATATAATATTAAATGATACATTCTGTATAAAAAAAATTGATATAAACAATCGATGTACCAAAATACTTTTTATATTAATATAAAACAATTCTTTAATTCCATACATAGGTTGTATAACAATTGTATCCTGTTAAAATGATTTTGATAATGAAAAATAATTTTTTAATTATATCAAGAGAATTAATTGTGTATTAACAGCCTTGTCATCACAATTTCAATTGAATATCTATTTCTATGAGCACTCAAATCAGTTATTTTGGAAGGGACATTTTAATTAATCTAGTAATAACTATTTGAGCGGTTATTGATATCTAAATTTTTTTTTCATTTTTCTTTCGAATATGATCTAATAAAAGCTTAGTTTTTATTATTAAAGTATTTGTGAGCTTGAACTGTGGGTCAAGAGCTCACAATTGTTTATAGTCTGGTTTTTAAAGTCCAATGAGCTAAAACTTAATAAAAACATAATTTTTCTAAATATCCGATTATCAATTGTATGAAATTATAATATACAGACAGTATACGCAATATACAATGCTAATTTTACAACTTATATTTTAATTGGCCCTTTAGCACGCTGATCTTCCATGCGACCTGCTTGGAGCCTCTGTATAAGGGTAAACAGATCCTCCTCAGGAACTGTAGCTCCAGATGGACTATTATCATTATTTTGTGATTCTTGTTCATCGACATCTTTGAGAACAGGGAAAGTTGGCAGTGGGCTGCGCTGATCTTCTAATCTAGAGCTTTGGCACCGAGCTAACATTTCAATAAACGAATCGTCATCAACCAAGGATTGATTTGACGTTTTAACAGACGCTTTGCTTTTTGTGATATTTAATCCTGGTAGGTATGGCAATGTTACACGCTGCTCATCCATTCGTTTACTCTGCATTCCAGCTATCAATTGCAATAAATCGTCTTCATCTTTGTCGTTGTTTTGATTTAATCCAATATTTTTCTTCTGATTTGTACGAAGAACGCAGCGTTGATCATCCATGCGCCCTGATTGAAATCGTGAAAGTAATTCAAAGAAGTTTTCTTCGTCTTCTTCCTCCTTTTGCGATGGTTCCGGAGCCATTCCAGCTCGAGCATGGAAAGTCCCTTGCGATTCTTTTGATTTAGTATCAGGGGTGAGTTTTATGAGATCCAAATTATCCATACTTTGCCTACGTAGTCTGTATCTACCGGGCGATGAAGCAATGATATTCACCGAGGCTGTATTGAGATTTTTTTTATCGTCATCAACTTTTTCAATACCCAAAATTTTTTGAAGATCGACAACATTCATTTGCGCAGTTGCTTGGCCCATTGCGTCACCAAGTTCTCTTGAAATCTGTAAATGTAATTTGGCGTAATAGAGTGCTTTTTCATGATTTCCCATTGCCGAGTAAGCATTGCCTAAAGACCAGCAAGCCCGTCCCTCTCCCACTCTATCTTTCAATTGTTGGGCTATGAAGAGATGTTGTAAATGATATTCAATGGCCGCATCGTAATCCCGAAGCAGTGTGTACGTATTGCCTAGAGAATAGCAAGCTTGTGCTTTAAATGCTTGGTCACCAAGTTCTTGGGCCAGAACCAAAGTGCGTCGATAATGTTGGGCAGCTTTTTCAAACTCGCCTAGAAAAATATGAGAATTTCCCAAATTGCTATTAGCTCTTCTTTCTGCTGCTTTTTCACCGAATTCACGAGCTATTTTGAGTCGATCATTATGGTATTGAATTGCCTTCTGAAAATCACCTAGCAAGTAATACGTGTTTCCTAAATTACCACATGCGCGACCTTGAGCTGCAGAGTCACCAAGTTCCTTCATCAATTTTAAATTATCTTGATAATAACTGACGGCTTGTTGCAAGCATTCTTTAACTTCTTCCGAATATTCACCCGGACCTTGATGTCCTTCCCTACTATTATGTTTACCTTTAGCGTGGTATATATTTCCTAAGTTATATAATGCTCTACCTTCGCTTAACTTATCTCCAATTTCCCTCGATATTTCTAAATGACGTTTGCAACAAATCATTGCTTCATCAAATTTACCCAAAACTTTCAATGTATTTCCCAAATTTCCACTCGACTTTGCTTCCCCCAATTTATCACCCATGGATCTTGCCAATGTTAAATCGTGTTTGTGATACTGCATAGCCATCACGTAGTCTCCAAGATAAAAATAGGCATTTCCTAGTTGACTATAAATGGCACTGAGTGTTCTTAGATCATCGGTGCCAGCTTGAATGGCTGCTCGAAAAAAAGCCACTCCAGTTCTGCAATCTCCATCTTTGCAAAGACGTTCACCTTCTAAAGCAATTTCCAAACACATGTTTGAATCGCTACCACTTAACTGACCTTCGGTCGTCAAGTTTTCTGCACTAGCACTTAACGACATTGTGACTATTTAATTTTCAAAATCTCTCTGTAGAAACAATAAATTTCTAATTTATTAATGGCAAATTAAATTATTTAAAATAGAGTCTTATGTTTAGTTAGTAATTTGTAATGTTTAAATATTGAGTATAGCGAAACTATGTAATAAGCACACATTTAATTACTAACAAAATAATATTCTTTCAATTATTTAAATTAATTTAAATAATATTCAGTTGCGGAAAAGTATAACAAAGTTATATAATATGATTTCAACAAAATCTATTAAGGAATTAAATTGTTTGAAATTTATGTAGGAATTATAAAAATATCTACAAGCAATTTTATTTACTTTTTATGTAAATGCGATTAAAAAAATGAATGAAAATATCTTTGTCGAGTTGTATTAGCATAAATGGCTTACCAACTCTATTCTTTTTATCAAAACGACTGTCTATATCAATTAGCACCTAACATTATAGCATGTTGTTTTGTCTAAAATTGCTTTATTAAATTTTTGCTCTTATTATCTTTGTTGATCTGCATGTATAATCTTAATTTTTGTGTTCCAGTTACCTAAACAGAAAATTTATTAAAAGCGTTAAAATTTAATTTGCACGTTTAACATTATTGCGTAGAAAATTAAGTTGACTTTTAAAAACTTATTTTTTCTATACGTGGGTATTTCAATAATTTTTAAAAATATTTTAAATCTTGAATTTGGCAAATGAGTAATTAGCAACTTGCAATTAATTATAAGACTACAAGTAGTCTTTAATTTCAATATCAATTAAAAATAACATGATTAATAAATAACATATGACTTTACATAATATCGAATCAGTATTTAACTTTATGTACATTAATGAAATCAGCAAATTAGTCAATAATTTAAAATTGAAATAACTTAATAATTTTACCTAAAAAATCTAGGCTTAATTGTTAAACATAAATGGTAAAATGATATTTCTAGAAATTTTAATGATTTAGTTCTTATAAATGAAAGGTTTATTTGTATTAGAAAATCATGCTCGATATAAATGGCTAAATCATCTAAATGTTTTATTTTATTAGATTTCACCAAATGATATGCTTCAAAAATAATTTTTAATAAACATAATTATATGTAGTTAATTAATAAATATATACTATAACAATACGTCACATTGTATATTATTCGCACCCATAATGAAAATATAGATATATAGAATATAAATAAAAACAAAATCATGAGAGAAAATGAAAACAGATTTTTAAATATAAATGATGCTTGAAAATAATTTTTTTTTCATCTTTAAAAACATTTGTTATTTCTTACGTAATGAAAAATGTTTGTATATAATTAGCACATTACAAATTTAAGGTTTAATATATAAGTAGGAATTATTGTTTAATGAATTTTTTAATTTAGAAAAGTATTTACAAATTTTAAATAAATTAATAGAAATAACTTATAATGATTTCTTAGCAATTATCAGTTATATAATTTTGCTTACAGTAATCATTTTATTCAGGGAATAATTAATCTATATTTCTATAGATAATATTTAATTAAAATATTGAATCTTAAAGGTTTCTTTCAATGAAAATATCATATTATTTTTTTTTCTCTGTTTTATAAATACTATTGAGAATAACCTCAAAATAAATATTTTATCGTATGTTTCCGTCATAAGAAGTTATATATTTACAAATTAAAATAATTTTTACGTTATAATTTTTATATTATACATTCTTAGAAAACAAAAAACAAGAAACGAGAAAAAAGAAAATAAAAAAAAAAAATAAATACATAAGAATAATGTTATTTTTTAAATAAATATTGGGTCTTGAAAGTTGACTTACATTCGTATTTATAATTAACTAGGCAATAAGTGTTTAGAAAAATAACAATTTTTCATATATTTGAGTGTTGTATCGACTTTGTCAAATGCAAATTGGAGTAAACTTAAGTAAAAAGTGTCCAGACACCTACGACCATTGCAATATTCATTACGATGAAGTAAATTTGAATAAAATTTGTAATATTTTCATCAACTATCTCACTAACGCAAAATAGTAAAAATACATTTAGTATTACGAACTCTGATAAAAACGAGTATCCATATATCGAAGCCTTTGAATAAAGTTCAGTAGCAATATGATACTTACGATGAAAATTATCGTATGAAAAGAAGAGTCCCAAGGTAATGAAACTCTGTATCGTAACGCAGAACTCAGACATGCGTTAAAAATTATATTAAGAATAATAATAATAATGTGGCACTGGGTTCACTCGATTCAGTCAATGAAAATAATATAAATTTGTAAACAGAATTTGTAAATTGAAATGGCGTCACTTACTCAACACGACTCCTCCCTTATTAGTAATGAGTCATTAGCCCTCGCGAGAGTTTCGTTTCGTTTCGAGTCTCACAGTTGGATTCTCACAGTTTGGGTTGATAAGTGGGGAGGGGAGCCATTACATGATCTTTGTCTATTTAGTAGAACTGACTTCGATTCTGCGCCGAACCGTTAAAATCCAATTGGTTCGGTCGTGCCTACGAATTTCAAATATAGGTAAGCTCTAGGATAAAATCATTTTTCACATTCGTTCATTAAAAAGTCGAGATTTTTATTCTAAAATGTCAATAAAATGTTAATAAAGATAATTATTTCTATTTAAATACAATTGTCATTCTTAATCGAAGTACTTTTCAATTAGTGTGTTTTTCATATTTATAAACGCTTATGTGAAATTAATCAGAAAGCAAAGGTATTAACGCTAATAATAACATCAATATAATATAAGAAAATAATAATATTTTATACTTATTTTTTCAATTTCTGTTGTATAATCATTCTTTTACATCCCCGTGCCTAGCTCTTATTTTATATATTTTCTATTAAAAACAATAATCCCCACTCCCGAAACCCTCAAGCCCTCCCCCTTCTCGACGATGTTGAGCAATCCAAGCAATTCCAAAGGTGTCGTAAGTGCGCAGAATCCGACTTTCATTGCGTCTATATAGAAATATATATGTTTTTAAGAACAGAGAGAAAATATATATGTTTTTAACTTTATTGTTTATTAAATGGAGCAGGGGTAGTTTGTAGTGTTTGCAGATTTGGACTTTCTTATTCTGTATATAATTAATACTTGGGATTTGAGAGTCCAGTGGATTACGTGCTGTTGTTTATCGAGCAAGTTTCACAATAATCACAACTCAATAGTATAATTTATTTATTTAGTAGAAAACTGCCTGATCAGGGTTATCGACCATCAATGTTGAACTATTTATCATTCTCACTAATATTACTACTATCTTTATTTTCTTTTTATGACCCTGTAAATGGGGTTACTTCGTCATGGATAAAAATGAGAAAATTTAGCTAATTAGAGAACGTTGCGCCGAGAATCATTTGAAGTGCAAAATTTATTTGATTTTAATTAATATTAAAAATATGATATTTGTAATATTAAGTTGGTTCTCGATATCTAAAAGTTTTGGAAAACAGTATTTTAACAATCTGCAAATAGATAAATTTTAGTATATTATTCAATAGAAAAATAATCGATTAGCCATTTATTATTAGTATAATGATTTTATATTGATAAACTATTAGGCTGTATCATTAATGCGCTCATTTATGTCCTTCGATTGGATTTAAGCTTAAACATTTGTAATACAGATGTGCAATGCGATTGTTAAATCTTTTCATAATTATGATTAGATACGTTTTCATTGACGTACATTTACCTTTTCTTTTATAAGTATCAATTAATTTTTATTCCTACCAATATAAAATATTTGTTTTAATGTTATGAAAATTAATTTTTTTTATCCAGGTAGATTGCCGCTCTATACGTTTATTGAGTCAGATAAAAATGCCAGCCGTAGTGGTTGGACCTCCTCAACGGAGCGAACAAATGTGGCAGGCTCTCAAAATACATATTACAAAAGAAAGACAGCGTAAAAAACAAGGTAAACATTGTATATAAAAATTTATTTGATAATATGTATAGTGAATAAATGATATATATTAGAACAAGAAGCTGACGCAGAAGAAGAGCGCCAAAGAAAAGAAAGAGAAACGCAACAGAAGCAAAATGTAATGACTCTGGGAGAAACGCGAGAACAAATTTCTACATTAGAAAGTGAGTTAACGCAATTTAAAAACGAAAAGCATCAATTATTTGTACAATTAAAGAAGGTCCTTCATGAAGATGATAATAGAAGAAGACTTATCAAAGAAACAAAGTAAATTATTAAAGTAAATTCTTGATTAAGATTCTATAATTTACATGTTATTTTATAAAAAAATCTTTTTTAAAGTGTATTATCAGAGCCAATGCAACAAGTCGGTGGATATATTGACCCAAGCACAACGGTACATCCTCATTTATATCTTCCGCTTCCAACCAGAAGTCCTCTTTACAAAGTTACTGCTGTCACACCTCCTCATACGTTAATGTCAAGTGTAAGTTGAAATTTTACTTTTAAAAATGCACTATCACTTTGCTTAAATGTTAAAATTTATAATTCTTTTATTATAAGCAACTGGTAAATAAAAATAATTTTTAACTTCTTACAATAATTGTATATTGTATCAAGCTTAGATTAATTAAATTAGATAATTCATACGACGTGCACAATTTATGATCTTAGATATTTATAAAGTATTTAATAAGTTTTGCTTTTTTAAATAATAGGGTCCTTTGAAAAGATCACATAGTCCATCACCACCGCCGCTACCACCAGTGTCATCTTATCATCCCGGCTATGGTTATAAACCACCTCCTTCTATGCCAAGTTATATTTCAACATCTTCCAGTAAGTTAAATGTTAAAGTATCAACTTTTTTAATTTGAGTATTTGAATAATTGAAATTAAACAAGAATTTACCAAAAAGCAAAATGTAGAAATTTAATAAAAGAAGATAATTTAATTTATTAATTTTGAATACCAACATTATTAATGTGCATTAATTAATCATAAATGTAAATATATATATAAAAATTATGTTGAATTAATATTATTGCCATTTAAAGATTTATTATTTTCTTTGATTAATATGTCTTTGAAGAATTTTTTCATTTTATACATTTTTATAAGATAATTTTTTTCTCAAATAAGCCATAAATCCATGATTGTATTCTTACAGAATCTGAAGAGGCTGCTAGGAGATCGAGTGATTCTCGAGTTGTTCTATGGAATAGTAAGTTGCTTATTTATGTATTTAGCATTTATTTGTACATGTAATCTTTATATCTGTAATTATTGCAGCAAGTATCTTGTACATAAAAATATATCAATAATTGTTTTTTATTACAATGGATGAAGTTACGCTTTCATTTTATGCTTATTTTAATAAATTATACCATCGTTCACATATGTGATGATTTTGTCATTCGCTAAAAAGTAATAAACTCTCCTTTTTTTCAGAATTTTAATTTTAATTTTTTTAAATTTACTCAATAATAAACAAAATTAAAAGTATATATACTCACAAATACATGTACAGCAAGATTTTCTTTTCTTATTGAAACTACCATCAATTGCCATCTAATAAACTGTTGATAACATTAATAGCGATAATCATTAAAATTATAATCAAATACTTTTTCGTTCTATGAAATGTATGATTTCAAAAAATATTTTCTTAAATATTCTTTGTCACTATTCTTGTTATTTTTTAATTTTGAGTATTTATTTCATTATTGTTATACTTTAAGAAGTAAATTAGAGTTCCAATTCATGGTTTCATCGCTATTGGATTTTATGAAATATAATAATAACAATCCTTTGGTAAAACAGTTTTATCATAAAAATATATATTATTATTATTATTAATAAGTATATCAATGGAATAAATATTTCAATAATCTAACGTTGTGAATAGTTTTGAATCTTATTTTAAGCATAGGACAAACTAATAGGACATACTAATAGACGATTTTCAATCACATTATCAATCATTCGCTTTACACTATTTTAGAGTCTCCTAATCAGTTTCCTGGTTCAAGTTATTATGGGCCTGCCGCTGGTCAATACGACTTTTGTCCGCCTACATCGCAACGTGTCTCAGAGCCTGGAAAACCAGTCTATTTAACTGCTACTCGTGCCCCATTACCAACCATTCAAACAGGTAAATGATATTATAATATCTATTTTATGTTAAATTTTATCGTTGAAGATAGATAGTTATTAATGTGAAATGTGAATAATACAAGTTTCTTAATAAAAAAATTAAAAAATAATAATCATTACGTATATTTCTATAAATGTGATATTATTAATGTATAGTTGTTTCAAAATTTTAATCGACTATAAATCTTTGTATTGAATTTTGAATTTCAAAAGACCAACTTAAATCAACGATACAATATTCCTTCACATTACTTTAATATTCATAATTAGAGTGTCTATTAATCAGTCGGATATAATGAAATATATTTTAGTAAGGTAGTTACAATTTATTTGAATCAATCAGTCGTAGAGCGTAATTAATTATGTATTGAATAAGATAGCCTTATGCAATCAGAAGAAATGCTTTAACAAAAATTTAGTTTAACAATTAATGAACTCGGTATTGATATTTAACACTAATTAAATTACAGTCTTTACTTATTATTGACTACCAATTTTTTTGCAAACAGTACCTTATACCGAAGATAAGTTCTACTCACGTCCAGGAAGTCATGTCGCCGTTCACGGTGGAGCCATACCAATTCAACAACCTCCGCAGGTATTTGCACAACCTATGATTATTATTAATGTTTTTACGATTTATTCGATAATAAAATATTTAAGACTTATCATTTATCAACTATATTTACATATCAACTATATTTATAACAATATACAAACATTTATCGACTATATTTGCTTGAAATTTATTGAATTGTTACATTCGTTACATTGTCAATTATTACTGCATTAATGATAGATTTTCGCATTAGTAATGCAATCTTTGTGATTTATTTTCACGGAGTAAGTTGGACTAAATTTTGACCGAAATCATGTTCTAGTTATCTAACGATAACTAGATCTTGAAAGAAATTCTTCGATTCTGATGAAATATTGTGACGATTTTACAGGGAGCGAAGACGGGTGGTATTACAAGTGGTTACCCGGTTCGAGCTCCACAGGCATCGCAAGGACCGTATCCACCGGCACCTCCGGGTGCTTATGTGAGTGTAGCTGGCGCAAATGTACCAGGACGACTTCTTTATACTCAGCCCGGACCACGATATCTTCAACGAGACGTTTAATGTGACATAATTGAAATTATATTTTATTACACAACCGCAATACAAACAGTAAATTGTTATAAGCTTAATGTGACTAAATACAGTGGCGAAAAATTTTCTCTTTAATCGCCTTTTCTAACGATTGTTTTGAATTGTAATAGATTTTACGGCTGACGATAAGTAAAAACCGGTATATTTTACTTTTTTTTTTTTAATAAAAATACACCACTAATAATAATAATGAAAAATTCTATTATTTATTTTATTACATATTTTATGAAATTATGAGGATGTACTTTTTAATCAACTTTTTAGAGAAGACGGAGTTTTTTCTTGTTCTATGTGTTATTATTGAAACACTTGAACTCCGAGGGCTTCCGTTTCAAATATTGTTTTTGTTGTAAAATCTGCAGAAGATTTGAAGATACACATATTCTCTAACAGTTTTGGATCTTTAAAATAAAATAGTATTTAAATTTTCGTTTAGTAAATAATAGCTTTTATTAATATTTAATACTTAAATGTTAATTAATGTTTCTTTTCATTTGTCTCCTCTATATAGCTTTATAAATTGATAAGTTATTTGTCTTTGTTAAATGTTGTGGATAATTAAAAATGCCAAGTATTGGCTTATCGAGTCATCGATACAACGAAGTTTATCGATCTATACTTCCACATCTTTTTTGAAAGGACGTTTCGTCAACTTTGCGTAGTGCGTTAAATACACGATCAAGAGCTATCATCAATTTTTCAAATAAGAAGGTATTCAGAAGATTAACAATACACCTAACATGTAATTTTCCCATCAAATCTCTTCATACTATTGGACTTATTTCATAGGAAACAGAATATTATACGAACACTAGTTTTGTAGTAATTGAGTAATTATAAAAATTGTATTATTAAACTGACTGAAGCAAAATATATTTTATTTTATTTCTACTTTACTTTACAAATTTATATAGTTTATTAGTTATAGTATTGAAAAAACTTGTTGCAATACTATAGATTTGCTTAAAAAGATAATATACACCTTACAGAATCAAAATTTTATTCGTAATATATATAATTTAAATATATTTTGCAATTACATGTTAATAAAGTGAGAAAAAATCCATTGGAAGTAAAAATGATTTATTTTAAAATATTATGTCTTGTACATTACTTTTGAGGTAAGAGAATCAATTCTACATCATTTATACATTCCGTAGATTCGAATCTATTATTTCAAAGATTTTTTATAAAGCGTAACTAATCGTTGAATTAAAAAACACAATCTATGAAATATAAATAATCAATCATAAATGATAAATATTAATTTACTTATATTTTCTATTGGTGACTGCAAGATTACTTTCTGTTATATTTGTGGAGAATGTTATTTAAAAGAGATCATGTGAAGCTACATTAAATATTTTTTATTCTTCTTGTACTGTAATAAATGCTATTTTTATGATTCGATTCATTCATTCAAACTTTTATTTTATTTTCTTAGTTTTTAGTAACTTTGTTATAAATATAAGAGCTGATAAATATGATAAATATAATCTTTTACGATTAATATTGTGAAAATCGTATGGATAATACTCAGTTGAATTACAAATATTACTTAAAGTATTTATAAGTTTTATTAAAAATTTCCTTGTGTCATTAGTGATTTATTAATTCGAGCTTTCAATAATGGAAACAAAATTATTATATTTATTTGTTAGTTAAATTGTTAAAATATATTAACTTTCTTCTAGAAACCATTTTATATGTAATTAGTATAATTATTTATAGATTTAGAATTTTTTGCTTCCAATAATATTATATAACTTTACAATATTTAAAAATAAATATTAATTTTATTTTAGTTTTAAATAAATGTACATTAGTTTAAAAAATTATAATTTGATAATTTCAAGTTTTGTAATATTTTATTTTTTAACTTTGATTAAAATCTTATTGCAATTATAATTTTTCGAATGGGAATGAATTCATTTCCGTTAAAAAATGTTTCAAATGTTGTTATATTATATATAGCTGTCACAAAAATAAATTCAGCTTTCTAATAATTAACAAAAGAAAGTTCATTTCTTAATCGCATAAAATACTTAAAATACATAAAATTTTTAAATACAATGATTTTTATAGGAAACACTCTAGTCGGATGATATATTTTTAATTATTTGATTCGGAATCAACTTTTTTTTTTTATAAGATTTATTGCAGATCAGTTTTTAGTGAAAAAATAAAATATGTTTCAACTGAATTAAAAAGTAATGACAATTGTATTTTTTCTAATTGTTTTTAAAAAATTGTGGCATTTGTATTGCTTTGTCATGTTCTGCATTAGTTTTAATTTTAACCATTTTTTTACGAACAGGAAGTTTAATATTTGAATGTTGTTTAGAATCAAATTTGTTGGATCATAAAATTGTTAATCTATGCTCATTATTTTTATGAAATAAAATTCCTCTTGACGTTTCATTACTGTTGTCTTGATTGTGCTGAAAACTTTGGATTTTCATATTTATAAATATTTAGAAATGTACATTAAAATTATAAGAGAAATGGTAATTTTATAAATTTAACAAAATAAATATAAAAAATTAAGCTTGCAAAGTCTTTTAGTTCTATTCCTTAATATATTTTTTAATAAATTCTGTTTCCATTTGATTATAATATGATAATGTTGAAGCTTTCGTAGACAGTATATTTCATATTTATTCTAATTAACAATATATTTTCAAATTTTTATACGGTTTAATAATATCGAATAGATAGGCTCTTTTTTTTTTAAAATAGCAAAATTTTATAATCAATACGTTCAATTATTATTTTTTCACAAGAGATATAATTTATAAATTTATATTTAATTTATGAATTGTGGACGTTGCTATTAAAATTCATTTATCCATTGTTAAATGTTTAATTTATTTTGCAAATATCAAGCATTTTGTATTGAAGTTTAAACAAAATGGAAATTGCTAAATTTGTAGTTACACGAGCATAATCAGCTTATGGAATTGAAATATTAATCAAACGTTTATATTGTAATGTTTAAGTTGTAATGCGGCATAATATCGTATTTTTATGAAACATTGAACAAAATAGATTATTAATTAAACTTGCGATTAGTCTTGCGAATAAATATAAATTACTACATTCTGAGGTACGTTTCTTTGGAGAATTTGATATTACTTCTCATTCGTTACTTTTCGTTTATTACTTTATTTATTAAATGTCTCTACGTACAATAGTCAATAATTGTTAGCTTTGCTTTTAATAAATTCCCATTCAAATTTTACTTTCATACGACCATATACGGGTGACAAAAGTAATTTATAATTTATCAGAAAATACATTAAACGTGTTTAATACTGTAATGTCTTTAAAAGAAAAAAAAAAAAAAAAAAAAAGAATATGAATGCAATATTTTTATTTTGCAAGTCAAATATGCAAGTTTATCAAGCATGATTACCAAGTTTGAAAAATTTAAATCAATTTATTTAAATTTTTGTTGTTATTATATTATCTTTTATTGGATTTTATTGGTGACTCTTACCACCATTAATAGCGTAAATACTCAATTTTAACGTTTAATTAGTTAATTATAGCGCCGTGGTTAACTCATCACTATGAAAGCATTGTATTTGTAAATGATTACACACATCAAATGTTAAAAACTGTTCTACAATCGTTAAAAAAGAATTATCGTCCATGCCTTAGTGACGATTACTGTTGAATGTAATTTTGGATTCTCTTAGGAAGTGAGAGCAATGACTTTCTACAGTACACGTGCAAGATGCTGGAAATATTTATTAGCTCGAAAGATAATATGTAGTATTGTCCATCTGATTTACCAACCTTTTCATTTCTATCGATTTCTTCTTCTACAATCAGCATTGAAAAGCATTTCCTAGTAACAGGTCTTCGAACCTAATTAATTGATCTTAAATTCGCAATGGGAAGTGTCTTTATCACAATAGACTAAGGGTCCAGCAAAAGACAAAAAAGGTTAAATTCTGTATTATATTGTTTTTCTTTACAACGCTGGCGGTATTTTTTCATTTTTCTCAATCATTATCAAAATTTAATTATTTATTTCGATATTCATTTTCATGAATGTTTTCAGCATATTATTTAGCAAAGATTATTCAGTGAAATGTAATATATAAATTAAATTTTTTCTCTCTCGCAATTTATAACCAATCGAATACATTGAAATGTTATTGATGACTATATAATATTTTTTATACTACATGATAAAATTCTTCTTTAAACGTACTATTTTGATTCGCACTCTGTCATATTTATCAATTTTTTTTTTTTCATAAAAACTTGTTATACTGTAGTTTAAATAACGACGAATTCAATTTTAGTTATTTTTAAGAAATTTTAAAAGTAGCTTTATTCAGTTTTCATTGAATTTTACCGTTGGGATACAATTTTTCAATAACACGTTATGATATTAAATAGATTAAGATACAAATAACAACAATCGATGTTTTGAGATATCTCGCGGCGTTATTTGCTGTTTCCTACCAATGTGAAATGTATTTGTTGCCAGTGGCTATCCTTCGATTTTAGTAAAATTTTTGTAATCGTGAGACATTTATAACGAAGTTATTTTAAAATTCAATAACAGGTAGTGCGTTAACAAGTACATATTGAAAGCAAAACAAGATGCAGTTGTATATATTTTTTTTTCTTTTAAAGTCATAATATTTCATTGTGTTTTTCTTTGTTTATTAGTCTTTTAATTCTCTCGTTTTTTTTATTATTAGTGTTTATTTATATGTTTTTTTTTTTTTAAAATACTTCCAAACTCTCATTGAATGTTTAGAAAACAATGGATTTGCTAATGCAACGTTAATCCTTTGCGATTGTCATTGGTATAGAGATTTTTAGGGATGCAAATGGGCCAGAAAAATTAATAAATATATATAAAGTAAAATATTATTCGCATTCAGATTTAAATATTCAGATATGTTTAAATATACTTAGGTAACTATGATATTTTTAATGTATTTAGATCGAGGCATCTATGTATTGCGCAAAAGCTTGTCAATTCGAGAGATATTTGACTTTCCCTAAGTTTAATTTGATAAATTATTTATTAACAATCATATGGCTTAAAAAAAGTTATAAAATATACTGCATTAATTGAAATAAATTGCATTATACTACGTTTTTATTAAAATTTCAGCTAATCGGAGATAACAATATTTTATGAGGAAA